GGCTGTGATAATGTAGGCATTACCTGGGGCTACTAGTTTGTTAGGGGAAAGAATGTGTGAAGGAAAAGCTGGGCTGGTCTAACGAGGTAACTCACAAATCTAAGTATTGGAATACTGATCTGAGTTCTGCTAGACTAACTTGTAAATCTAGGTTAATTAGTGTTGGTTTGCTGTTCGTGTTTTTTGCTAGCCAACTGGATTTTCAAAGATACGTATCTGGCTTTGAAATGTTGATTTGCTGCCTCCCCACCTCCACTTTTGTGATGATAATGCTGCTAAAGCTGTTCCATGCCTATTGGCCAAATACCCCAAGCTTGTACTTTACCCTATAAAACCTCATGCTCACGTCTTGGAGGTGCTCAGAGCTTCGGAGCAGAAGCCGCCTGAGCCCGCCGGCGTAATACATCTGAGTACTCCAACCCTCCGAGTGGTGCTTGTTTCTTGGCTGGCCTGTCGTTTCCGTAAACAAATGTACTAGTAAAGAAGGCACTGTGTGTTGAGAGATCCCAGGCAGACATCTGAGAGCCCGGAAATGGGGGGCGTCCGGACTCTGAAGGACATCAGTTGGCCCAACATGAGATATATTGCAAAACACTAAATTAAAGACAAGCAAAAGTTACCCAACTCAGGTTTGACTGCTCGGCGTTCAAAAGCCAATACTCCATCTGAGACGAGTGTAACTCCGAAGATTCTGCTCCACCGTGAAAGTTTTAAAGGGAGCATCATCTGGGGAGGGGGTCAGAGTCCTCATTATCCTCCACTGTGTGCAGACTGTCTTCTGATTGGTCGGTGGTGAGGTAACGGGGCGGTGTTCCTGGAATCTCGTGCTCAGCCTGCAGTTGCCATCCTGCACCTGGGTGGGGGCCGACGTTCCTGCAGGGAAGAACTCAGCGGGATTGTTGTTCATATTCCTAGAAGAGGAACCAGGACCCTGCCCCAGGGCTGCGCTATTGTTTCTCCACTCTGTCTGTCTTGTTTCTGCATTCCCTCCCTTCCCTGATTAGCAACTATTTGAATCTGCCCTTTGGAACTCAGGGAACACCGAGGAGGCTGAATCAAGCCTATTTCCTACAAACGAGAAACAAACGAGGGACACGAAAGGGATTTGTACCCTGCAGGGCCCCACGGGACAAACTGGAAGAGCCCTGTCAGGGGAGCAGCTCTCTCTGCCCCTACACAGGACCCTGAGGCAGGAAGCGAAAGAGCAAAGGCCACAGTATAAACCTGGTATTTGAGTGTAATACACAGTCACCCAGGACACAGTCACAGCCCTCCAAGTGTGTAAAGTGCTGGGAATTTACACATCATTTGTGAGCCTAGGAAATCATTACCTCAAAAGTCACCGTTACGCTGTGCAAAACGGATGTACTTAGATGTTTAAGGCAGAATTCATAAACCGGCAATGCTGCCCCACAAAGTTTCGTTAAAACTTGTAATCACAACTGTGCGTAGGGATTGCTCTGTTCTGAAACAGAGGGAATGCTTTTGCTAATGATTTCTAATAAATATTATCCCACTGAGGCAGGAAAGTGGATGTGGGGCGTGAGGGGGGCCGAGTCCCAGGCCTCCGCTGAGCCCCTGGGACGTGCCCCGCCAGGTGTGGGTCCTTGGCTTTGCGCAGGAGAGAATTCAAGTGCGAGCCACCGCTGAGTAAAGGTAGACTTATTTAGAGAGATACATACTGCATAGTTTGTAAGGCAAGAGAAAGGCAAGGAAAGAGGTGTGGGAATTGGGTCCTTAGGTAAAAGTAAATGTAGGTACACACTCCACAGCCAGAGTGCGGGCCGTCTCCAAAGGGGAGAGAGAACGCAAAGGGCCACTAGGCATGGTGCTGTCTCTTTTTATGGGCTCAGCAGCTTCACGCGCCTACAGGTGGGATCAATCCAACTGCCCTGGGGCAGGGGCTGGGGTTCCCAGGGACTGGGCCTCCGCCCATTCTTTGGCCTTTTGCGGTTAGCCTTGAGGCTGTCATGGCGCCTGCGGGCATGTTATTTATCACGCTGTTACAATGAGCACATAATAAAGCTCAAGGTCTACTAGAAGTTAAACCTCTTAATCCTTAAGGCCAACTAGGAGGTGACTCTTCCACCATTTTGGTGAATCTTCCACCATTTTGGTGTTAAACTGCTGTCATTACTTGAGTGGCTGTGCCAGGCCCTCTTCCCTCCTGTCTCAGCACCACCCTAACGCAAATGCAGTGATGGAGGGCTTCAGTTTCTTAGCAGCTGGACCTGTCAAACACACAAAGCCAAGCTCCAGCAGAAGCAGTAAGGACAGATTTTTAATCAGTGACATACGCTGCATTACAGAAGAGCCATCCAGTGTGAAAGGAACACAATTTCCATTCATACAGAGGTGACTTGGGTGTTTTAAAGGGAGACTGAGGGAATGGGGAGGAGAAACAGTAGAAGCTTGACAGAGTCAGGGAAGTGAAAAATTGCACAGAGTTGGTCAGTGTAACTGCCATAAGGCCAACGGTGTCTGTTAACTGGTCATTACTGAACTTCGCATCCTGTCCTTCTCTGGAGACTGGGAGACGGAGGCCCCCTCCTCCCTAATCATTATGGTCCAGAGAAATGGCTTTCAGGTCCTGGACAGAGACACTCCCCAGTTGTAGGAGATGCGCACGCATCTCAAAGGGACAAAGGAAGATTTAGAATCCTAAACTCTTTTTATTAAGTGTTCTAAGAAAGAGAGGTCTGGGGCTTATCCCCGGGCATTGGCTAAAACAAACGGTAAATTCTTTTGAGTTTTTTGGGTTTCCTTTTTGGTGTTTGGCAGGTGCTTTAAGAGGGACAGGGGTCAACCTACAGCCTTGAGCTGTTAGAACTATGATAGAGTTTCCTCAAGTCTTTTAGTGTGGGGGGGTGAGTGGATGAAATCATTTGGGCAGAGAATCTGCAGTTTTTAAAGGTCAGAAATTGAGGCCTCGTCGATTAAAGGGCTCAGAGGAGCCTGTCTGAAGTTTGCTCAAGAAGAGAGTCTTTGTCAGCCGCTAACGCATGTAGCAGGGTTGCAGCCAGAACACACGCACAGTTTGGTATTCCTTCTGGCGACTGTAGGACCAATAGCACTTTCTTTGCTTTACGATCTCCACATACTCATTTGGGAGACGGCATAGTGGTCCACAAAGAGGCCACTTCACAGTTTCCTCCTTCCTTCCTAGTAGCTATGAATGTTCTTTCCTATTGTTTAATTATTAAAACCAGTATTAAAATAAACTCTTTACTCATGGGTTTCCCCCACCCTTCATTTGATTGGAATTATTAGAATTTGGACAGCAAGAAAGAAACGATTACCTGTAGGGGCTGCAACACTTGAAAGACCTTTGTTTACCTCTGATTTTCTTTTCTTTTTCTCTCCCTCTTCCCTCCTCAGCCCACCCCTCCCCAACATTTTGTATGTTGGCACAGGACCGCGGAGGCTTAACTGGACCACTCCCCCAGGGCCAAAGAGAGGATGTGGGACAGTGTCTTTTTCTATTCATCCCATTTTTGGATGAAGAGAGTATAGGACATTTTGTCTCTGAGTTGTGGTGTGGTGGTCAGCTAGGAAAACGCATTTCAAGGGATCGACATTCTGAAGGGCTACACAGAA